ATTATTCCGAGGCACTTGTTTCCGCCACCGGTCTAAAGCTTAGACTCGACAGCTTTATGTTGGATCTACACCAAAGGCGAGAGGAGTGGGCAGCTCAGGGCAGAGGTAAAGCTAAGCAGATGAAAGCAACCGGCATGAGAATCAACCAAGCTCAGCTGGACTTTATCTCCGCTGACATTCGGGCTGTATCTGCCAGCATTGCCGGCACGACCACGGACGACTTGAAACGAGCCACACCGGAAGACCTAGCAGCTTACCAGCAGTCAACAGCTTCAGCTGACATATCTCGCTTTACCATTCCGGACAATGACTTTTTCTGGATTGACATGGATGACTTCGTCGAAATCGATTGGATCTTGCCGGCCGAGACGAATCCAGAGACAAAGATCTTGCCTTTGGCTTTTGCGCCACGCTTTACTTATTTCCGACAGACTGATACTCAGACTTCCAAGTCTGCAGATGGCGACAGCGCAAGTCCCTTCGGTGACGAACCCACCCATTTTTGTGTCATGTCTCAGGATAACGACCCTCGCAAAGTACAGTGTCAGCTGATTGAAGAGCGCCTTGTACAACTCGATGAACAATTGGAAATGCATGAGAGAACGTTAGGCGAGCAAGAGCTTCGTGTTGTCCGGGATTCATATCGAGATTCGAGTCTAAAAGAGCGCTACGAAATGCTCAGCGACCAGGGTAGGAAACTCAAAGGCAAAAAGGATTTCCTACAGAAAACACTCGCACGGCTGAACCGTGCCATCGATGAAGGCAGGCCCTGGATCTCAGCAGCTGGTGACACTGCTGGCCTAGACCTAGCAGGTGAGGGGTCAGAAGATGAAGCGGATACTGAAGCCGAGGGAATTAAAGCCACACCTCATTCAGGACCTACCAGTGGCTTCAATAACCGCTTCATCATACACAATGCGCAGCTGAAATGGAACAACTCGCTTCGGAACATCATTCTCCGCTACGTACACCAAGTCAGTCAACGGCGAGGGTTCATTTACTACATGTCACAGAAAGCCGTCAAGTTCATCTTAGACATTGTCAGAGAGCAGCATAAGAGTAAGAGAAAACATACACAACAAAACGATTCTGACTCGACAGATTCAGAAGCCTTTGCAGCCTTCTCGACGGAAGAAGAGAAGAGTGCTGGCTCCAGCGTCGAAGACCTCATCCAAGATCTGCTCAGCGATAGCAATAAAACCGTCGACGCTGATGATCCTAAGCAAACAGCAGAGCCGCAAAATTCAAACACGGATAACCTCGGGAAGGACATTTCAGAAGAATACATACCGCAAAACACTTATCATGTTCGCTTGATCGCACCACAATTCCAATTGCAGAGCGAGAAGAACTCCAAATCCGTGCTACTAGTCACAGCCAAAAGCATGCAATTAAAAGTGGTCCAAATCATGGACAAGGATCGCATAGCGGATGATGTCAGTGGGCTCGTGCAGCGCAGATTTTCTGTGGATATGGATAGTGTACAGTTCTTTGTCACGACCCAAAAGGTCTTGTCCCAGTTTCTTCATATATACTCTGGCAATCGCTACGGTACCCCCAAAGGCTCTGCGTGGCCACCCTGGGTAGCGTTCGAGACCAATTTCGATTTCGAATACGACCCTTTCGGATGGTCGCGAGTAGTGCAGAGAACATCTGCGAGTCTTCGCTACGACAAGTACAATACCCTTCGACTGAAGTACAACGACGAGGTTAGCAGTGGGAAAATGGGACAGAAAAACAAGCCAGAGAACATGGAAAGCCGCATCGACCACTTGTGGGTTGACTTCCCACACATTCGGGCGATCTGCGACTCTGTCGAATATTTCACAATGTATGTGATAGTGTTTGATCTATTGCTATACAACGAGCCGTTGGAAAAGGTCCGCAGTGAAAAGCTTGAGAGGATCATGTTGGCCTCTGACTTTAGTGATCTCAGCGGTGCGCCCAAAATGGTGTCTAGTCTTCAAGCTCGAATACGCCAATTGGAGGAGATCAAAACACAATTTCTGATTAACGCGAAGTACCTTGACAAACAAGGTTGGGAAGATCGTATGGCTATCGAGCACGATTTAGCGAGCTGCGAGGACGAGCTCTTCTTCATGATGAAGGCCATTACCACATCGCAACGCAAATTTGACGATCGTACTCAGGCCTCACAGACCACTGGGCTGCTGCGTTGGTACCTTTCCGCTTCAGAAATTGTCTGGCATTTGATGAGAGAAAAGGACGTCCCATTAATGGAGATTCAACTAAACAAAGCGGCCTACGACAGGACAGACAATAGCGATGGTTCCAACCACAATTCGATGCAGATCGAGCGTATACATGGGCTCAATCTCTTGCCCGATGCTCTATACCCTGAGATGCTGGGTCCATATTTGGAAAGTGGTAGGAAGTTTGTCCATGGTCAAGATCCTAAGATGCTCAAGGTCAATTGGCACAGCCTTGAGCCGATTGCTGGCATACCAGTCTTAGATCAATTCGAGGTTGACCTTTTCCCACTGAAAGTTCAGCTTGAGAGAGAAGTGGGTCAGAAACTTTTTGAATATATCTTTCCGGGGTTGGATAAGAATGGTAGTGACAAATCGCCGTTTATTGTCAAGCATACGCTCCATGCAGGGGATGCGGAAGAGGACTCCGATGCTGAGACCTTGTCCAGCATCCCAGACGCGCCGAGGCTCGAAGCCAATGGCTCCAATGACGACCAACCATCGACCAGAGCAGCATCCCTAGACATGAGACTCAGAGCTACCAGGGCGTTTCCACAGAAAGAGAGTCGTTCCACTTCCTCTAGTAAGACCAATGGGGAAACCCACCATTTCAAATTATTCCACCACTCGAACCACTCCAGTCGTTCGCAGAATGCATCAAGGCCATCTCTAGTGCGTACGAGTTCCAAGAAACCTTCACAAGAGTCTCTAGCAGTAATGCGCCAATCTAAGGATGGGTCTTCGACAAATTTATCCGCGATGAACGGCAACCCAGAGAAGCATAAAAGATTCACCCTCAATCGTTCGACGAGCCAAGCTACTACAACAGACAAAACTAAGCCTTCTGATGATCTCTCTCAAATGCTGTCACGAGCTTCAAACTACATGACTCTCGCGTACGTGAAGATCCCTAGCGTTGTTCTTTGCCTCAGCTACAAGGGCAAAGGCGAACGAAACATTGAAGACGTCCACAACTTCGTCTTCCGCATGCCAGTCCTTGAGTATCGAAATAAGACCTGGTCAAACCTTGACCTCGCTTTACGACTCAAGAAAGATGTTATCAGGGCACTCATCTCGCACACAGGCGCCATCATCGGCAACAAGCTCTCTCATCATCGGCCAGGCAAAAGCCAACAGGGCCGCCTCCGCGAGCTTGCAAACTCCTCATCTATGCTACCAAATAGCAACACTCTCAAGAACAGCCTCTCGAGCGAGACAAGCAGTATAAGGGATCAAAGCCCCCAAGGCGACACTGATGACTCCTCCCGGGCAACCTTGACATCCAATCCGAGCAATCAGTTGGCGAGAAGAGACTCGTTTACGCAGAGCTTACGGCATGCCGCTCTCCACAATGGACTGCATGGCGAACCGCCCTCGATACCAGAGTCCGAGGCTGAGGGTGAAGATAATGTACGTCGCCGTCATTCTCTGAATTGCCTTCTACACTAAAAGCTGACTGACCTCTAACTAGGCACTGAACAAAATGCGGCACACCCTGATCCGGCGGTTCACCACAGACACTCACAAACTTCGACGTAAGGATGCGGATGGTGAGGACCCAGATGAAAGGTCAGTACCTGTTGATGAACCATTCGCAGCAGTGGATCCTCTCACTGACGACTTGCAGCACACGCAAGAAAAGCGTGCAACTCCTAGGCAAGAGAATATTGGGATCCTTGAACCAATGAGACTGTCCGAGGGCTCTCGTTTACCCCGAATAATGTGGACGATTCTTGGGGTGTCTGTACCACCAACAAACCCCTGGACAGCGGTTCTGAACTTTCCATCTCATCTCGGCAGCCTCTCCCAACCGTCTCCATCCTTTCATCTCATCTGGACGATCTCTCTCTCTACCCCCGTCACCTTATCACGACCTCACGCCGAAAAAGCACCCTGTTTACTCATTTTCGTTCTAGATCTGTACGAGTAGGATGGGATTTTGAGAGGGAAGAGGAGGTGGCAACGCAATGCTGCATTTACATGGCGTCCAGCTTGGTGCGCTCTAGAGGCGACTCAGGGTGGCCCTTTTAATGGTTTCACCTTCTTTTGTAAATACTCAGAGACTGTACATATTCTTGAAAAGAGGTGGTCGAAATGGAAAGTCGAGCAACTCTCGAAGCTAGCAGAGCCTCACTGTCAGTGTCAGCCACGCGATGTTTGTTTACATCCTGCTTTGGGCATTGATTCTCATATACTGAACGAAGACCTTGGGATTCGCTTTGTTGGATTAATCGACCCAGCCGTTGTTCTGACATGAAGATGCTATTTGGCTGTCCTGTCTATCTACTAGTAAACACCCTTGCCCACTCTAAAAGATTTGAATTCGCTAAAAGAAAAAGAACCGCCAGCGTTGCCCCGTCTCTTGATGGGGAGCTACCAGCACTAAGCTCCGTTGACGCCGAGTGCCTAGAAAGAAGGAACGAGGCCAGTCGCACCTGGATGAGCTTTTTCTCTCAAGATGTCGAATGCTGAAAGGTACCGATGTCGTAGAGGACGTAAGGTCATGAGTGCCATTAAAGAGTATGCCGCGCTATGCAGTTGTTCCGATGAAAGATGTCCGTAGAAATATGGAAAGGGTACCGGATGAGGGTAAGAGACGTCCAAAGCTCTCCAAGGGAGGAGCTAATGGAGCAGAGAGTCTCGAGTATTCAAGATGTTCCTGGTTCGAGCTAGTGGAGCAAACTGTGATACCGAGTCTAGTGGTTGCAATGTGCCAAGGTGAAGAAGATGTTGCAACAGCGACGATGTCCAGCGATCCAATTTGAGGTCCTGCAGCGGTGGTCCTGACGTTCACTTCTGGCCCCAAATATGCCGATCATCGTAGATGCCGGAATATGGCGCGGCTGTATGTGAAGCGACATCCTGAATTTGGAATCCTCTCTTCATCTCAGACTCCACAAAGTTCGATGCACGCTTGTAGCGCTTGTCGGTGTACTTGTCGAAGATCGCACAGTGATGCTTGCGTGCGTCTTCGCAGCATTCGACCATGAGCAATATCAGGTTGAAAAGCTGGGAGTAGGTGTAGTTGGCGTAATAGACGTGTGCAGGTGACTGCGAAGGGATCAGCAGCTGAGGTGCAACGATCATCGGAGCAGGATACATACCCAAATGCCCTTCTTGAGCATCAGCCTGGCCAGACAATGTGCTCCAGCCGCAACAAAGCTCGGTGGACTACCGACGAATCGCTCATCCATAACAGTGATCTCGAGGAAGTACTTTGCGAGCGTCCTCGTCTCAAGATCGTAATCGTCGGCCTTGCTGATCCTCCTCAAGAAGCTCATTGGTCCAGGCCAGCCAAGTTCGAACTGCAGCATGCTGAGCATGAAACGTTCCGCCTTGAGAATCTCGTCGCCAGTGTAGCCGCCATCAACCATGTATACAATTTCTTGCACGGACGGGCAATCGATCTCTTCGTACTTGGCGGCGATGAATATTGCAGTGGCGCCGACCAACTGCAGCTTTCCCAAGGAGACGACCTTGCAAGACAAGAAGCGGTCGATGTAGTTGACACAGAGATAGAGCGTTTCTGGGAGAAGATTGAAGCGATGGTGCACTTGAACTATCCAGTCCATCAATACTGCACGCATCGACCACTGTATCTCCGCTTGGTTGTCCATATAGTGCGCATTTGGCAACATCTTGATCTATTGTATACAGTTAGCATGATTCAAGTGCCAGCGTATCTTCACTGACCTCCAAGTCCTTCATATATTGGAAAATCTCTTCCCCATATTCTGCGACCATTGTTGTGTCCCACGCCTCATCCTCAAGCTCTTCCACTGTCTTAGATCCCTCTATCAAGTCTTTGGCAGCAGCGATCTCTTTCCTTGTCTTTTGGTTGACCTTCGGGAACAGAATCGTCGTAGCACCGCCTGTGGTGTTTTCTCCCCTGGATTTGAATGATCGGGCAGTAGCATAACCTTCCTCGTCGTAATTTTCTTCTCCCTCATCATCCCAGTACTCTTCTGGCTCTGAAACAGGAGCCAAGGTGGGTCTTCGGTGTGATTCTGGGTGCGACTCGGCAAGATAAGCATCAAGAACCTGATCCTGGCCTGTTCTCCCATCCTGACTCAGCGGCTCCACTGGCAGGGGCACGCCCTTTTCACGCGGCTGAAGAACCTCGACATGCTCAACAGACTCATCAAGTCCGTAGAACTGTACTTGTCCATGCTGATCAATGTAAATGCCGTCCGATCTGAGGACAGCGGGTTCTTCAGAGGATGTTTCCGCAGCCGACGGTGCTGCTGCCACTGCGTGTGCCGCATGCTGACCTGCGTGCTTGCTCTGTGTTTCCTGTGACTCGTTGGACTCTTTGAGTTGCTGGCGAGGTTGGAGTTCGCGGTGGACAGGAGCGATTGGTGCAGTCGTAGGCAAAGGCTTCTGCACTTCAGGAGCGGAGTATTGGGGCTGCGTGGCAACAGCATCTTTAAAGACAGCAGTGCTTTTCTTCGCCACGAGCTTGCGTGTATTGGCGGCTTGAGACGTCTGTGGTAGTGGTTGTTGAATGTCAACCAAAGGCTGCTTGACCGAGGGAAGGTTGGTGGAATTGGCGACGTTATTCAAGAGACCTTTTAATCCGGAGACAGACAGGGGACGCTGTGCAGGTCTAAGGAAGGATGAAGCCTTCTTATCCTGCTGTGTCGGGATCGGTTTCTCCATGATGCTGTAATCGCCCTTGGCGCCAATTGCCGAGTCGTCCTTGCTGGGCCTAGAGATATTGGATGTGTTGCTGACATCCCCAAATGCGGTCCGCTTCGCAGCAAGCTTCAGACCACCCGCGTGATGTATTGTTGACAGCGCTGGGCTCGATTTGTTGCGCTGGTGTAGAGTTTTCTGTGCACCGGCCGTCGGCATCACGTTTTCATCTCCGTAGATGGCGCGCAAGGTCCGAGTCGGTCTCTGGGGCTGATACAGGGAAGACACGTTAGCATTATACTCCGTCGTCAGAGACAAGATACCGTTGAATGTGACATGGGGGTACACGGAGCCAACGATTAGGAGACTTGGAGTTCAGCAAGCTTAGACTCAAAAAAAGGCTTGGTCGGTAACTAGGATTGCATGCCAGAAAATCCTTGACTGGCAATGTGCTCTTTGTGTATGCTTTAGAACTGGAATGAATGGCTTACCTTGGCGTCCATGATGTGTCGACGCGTTCAAAGCTCCTCGAGTGTATTCTGGATGCTCGGGGAAGCTCTCGTGTTCCTCCCTCCAAACCGCGATCTGGCTTTTTTCTCTATCAGTGGACAAATCTGACGGGGCCAGACATTAGTATACGGACCACTAAGCTTGACGAGGTGCAATGAGCAAGCCCAAAACAATGCTTGTGTTCAGAATAAGATGATGTGGTAAGATGTGCTTCTCAGAAAGCTGCGACTCGCAGTCGCAGACGGGTTATTGTTGATTCCCAACTGAGCAGGGGTTGCCCCGACGATAGAACGCGCTAGTGATCACTCTAATTGCTAACTCTATTTACAGCCGCGTCCCTCTCACGATGCTTGAACATTCAAGAAGTGTCGCAAGCGATGTCTAGAAGCTGGTATGAGATGTTTTTACCGGTCGAATCATTATATACACTTTGCGACCCTATCCAGAGCCTGTTGGAGGTCAATCATGGCTTCAGAGCCCTGTTACCAGGATGAATGCTTTTTTGTCCCTGTCGCGCCTTCCTTCTACACCAAATACGCTCCAAGTCACGTGATGATTTCCGCAGATACAACCCCACGCATTTTGGCGGGCTCCCAGAATCAAGGCGCACCTTATACTGATATTTCAGTTGAACGGTCCACCGCTTGTGCTGTGAGGTTTGAAGACTCCTCTCGTGACAAGATACCTAAGCATCGACTAGAGATGGGATAACCGCCCACCTCGGCCAATTCGATTGTCTCCTCCCGCATGCTTCTACCTATGAAGTGCACAGCCTACCCCGTGGCCCGAAAGCTTCTTCATCTCGGGCATCTCTACCTACTTATTAGATACTTTAGTTGGGAAAATCCTAGTTCCCATCCTTGATCCTTTATCTTATGTTGCGACCGAGATGCCTTTTGTTGCCTGTCCACACGAGAGGTTGGTCGAATGAGACAGGGCAAATAGCAATGTCCAGTATCTAACCGAATACGTGCTGTATAGGAAGTAAGTAGCCGTAGATGAAAAAGCAATCACGATGGTTGTGCACAAATGTCGTTATCGGCCCAAGGGTCTAATAAATCGGGGGGGGGGGATATTCTAGGCGTGCTACTGCTGCTCCATATTATTATTGCGGCGGCAGCGGAGTAAAAAAGTCAGTAGTGGCGAGCGATGTTTGGCATGCTTAAGAGTAAAAGTACTCTAGTGTACGTGTAGCGAGAGCGAGTGTAGATCCTGCGCATCAAAGCCATCAATTATTGCCAATTGCTAATGGCCCATTGGTGATACAATAATAAGTATGGCTTGGTCTTGTGAAATCATAAGCCCATCATTTGCACCAATGCGACTGCACAACTCTTCGCTTTGCTCTCTCCCTCTCTCTCTTTCTCTCTTTCTCCTGGTCAATTTATCTCACCAAACACTTTCTCGGACATCTACCGAGGGTATCCGAGACTGACAGGATTTTTGCGGCGCATGGCATTGAGACTCCTGTCGTTTCAAGCTCCGGCCGGATTATTCGTCAACCGCTCAATCGTATGGTGAATGTTTGATTTTGGAAGATTGAAATTGGAGGCTGCATACGCTGTAACAATATTAAAAGTAGTACTGACTACTGAGCACGCTGAGGAAGACATTCGAGCTCGCTTGCCGTGGAGAAGCCAAGCGTTGTACCTAAGACTTTGGTGCTTCGGTCGAGGTATAAATATCACTCTCTGCAACTTGGAAGGAGTCGGCGCATAAGCTTGACTCGTATCGGGCAAGGGAAGGTATTTCCAACCAGCGGCTTTATTTCGCTGGCACCAAGCTGGTATGCAGCCCCCTCACATCACCATTGGCTCGATTGCATTTCAGCGTCCCACTTCCACCCACCTTCCGCTTTACCTGAGACTCCTCCTAAAACTTTAGCTTCTACCCACTGGGCCAGTTGCATTCGGGCCCAATCATCTCCGCCGCCTGACTATCCGTGCAGCTTGCTCTTTATGTAGAGGCCGCCGCTTGCCAGTCAATGCTCAAAATATACAAGTATATCTACAGACCATGCCCATTCGACATGGCCGGCGTTTCCTACCTGTGCACAGGACAGCTTCCCTAGATAGACCATGTACAATACCTAGTAGAGAACGTAGTAAATAAAGGCAAACTCCGTCTCGAGAGGTGATTTCATTCCTTGAATTGTCTGTTATCAGATTATGCCGATTGCATAAGTCAGTTGGTGCTGTGCAGGGTTTGTTGAGTTCGCTTGCTACTCTCTCTCTCTTCCTCTCTCTTTCTCCTTCAACCCATCGCCCTCGCATCAACAAACGTCTCTCCCCACTTCAAGCCATCCATTACCTTGGTTGCGTCCTATGGATCTTGATCACAGAGCCTAGCATCAATAAAGTCAAAACATCGGCTCTCGTATTCCAGAGTCTTTGTTGACGCTGACTCGGTGCTGAAGACGGCAGCCAACAACACACATCTGAGGGGACTGGTATCAACAGCAACATAGATCCTTTCCGAAGCCTCTGGTGTGAGCAGGGTGGTTACAACTAGGTATGCGATCCATAATATTACATTTTGCAATCTCCACCCTCTTCATGCACCTCATCCCTTGACTTGCGAAACCGACTCTTCCCCGAGCCGTCGCCTGGCCATGACTGCCCAACCAGTCCGACTACTTTTGTGGCTTTCAATATACGACCAATAGTATAGAAGACCAGTCACTAACATTCCTTTTCTTAGGTAGTCGGTCGTTCTTGATCAATCAGAGCCGTTGCGGCCGCCCGCTCCATCCCTCTTCTCATTCCAGCCACAAGTCAAGACTCTTTGCCGACAACAGTCCTTCATCGCAATCTTCCAAAGACCTGCGTCCCACAATGGACGTTGCCAATCTCCTATCCCATGACCCTCCACGACCTTCTCGCTCTCAACAGGCCGCGGAGACTACACCCCCAGAGACACAGCGGTTGCATCAATACCCTACACGTCACTCTGTCATGTCCAATAACATGTCTCTCGACGGTCATCGTTTCGCTACCCCGCCCGTCAGTCAGGGTTACGGCAACAATACTCCAACAGGCTACAGTGTTTCCCCTGCCAGTCCCGCGCCTAAGAACGTCGCATTCGAACTGCTGTTCGATGGTGCCACCAATCATCGAGCAAGACTGCCAATGAGGGTGCAAATCTTTCCCCATGATACCACCGACTCGATTGTGACCACTGTCAAGAATTTCTACGGGCTTTACGAAGGTGCCGCAAACGGCGTCAGTTTCGAGGATGACCATGGGAACACACTCATTGCGAGATATGAGAACTTCCAAAATAATATGGTCGTCTACGTTCGAGTCATTCCTGATTACTCGCAGGCATGGCAGCAGCAGGGCCACATTCAAAATCACTCGGCATCGCCTATCAATGCACAGAGGCTTCTTCATCTCGATGAAGGCTTTCAAATGCCCCCCCCTCAGCCCTCGCAGATACTGAACTATGGGCAACCCACGTCACGACCAGCATCCCGAGTGTCTCGAAAGCAGAGTGCATCTCCACGTCCCAGCAGGGGTCGTCGTAGTGTCTCTGCGCAAAAAGCTCGTTCTCGATCGGGCCTGATAAGCCGGGAGGATAGCTTCCAAGGACAGCTCAACGATCTCAATAGCGACACCATGAAAGGCTACAGCAGTAGTGATGGCGAAGGAGGCTCTGTATCCAGCTCTCGCAAAGCCAGAAGCGAGCAGCTCGCAAGTGCAGATATCAGTCTTAATAACATCCTCGAGGGCAACAGAAGGAAGAGGGCAAAGTTTGAGAGCTCTGTAAGTGATACAGCTGATAGGACACCTAGTCCACATGACTTGGCTAACCGCACGCACTTTGCAGGAGCTACCTCTGTTTGTGCCACCTCAGGTGCCTGCCCCTAACTCCATATCCTCGATCTCTCCACAGAGACGCTCCAATGGACAGGACAACCCTTCTCCATTCGCCCGCCCGACTCAACGACACTTTACCTACAGCCAGCCTCTGCAGTCACCACAGAGCTATGGGCACGGTGAGCATACGTACGGAATTATTCCTCAGAACAAATATCCTTCCAATGCTCCTCCAGCACCTCAAACTGGACGCCGTCTCCGTGACCGTGCAAACGCACCAAGTCTATCTACTCGCATGTCCAATGGAATGATTCCTCGCGCACAAGGTTTTGGAATACTGCCTACCCCTGATCCGACCATAGCCAGTTGTATCTCCGATGAGGATGTGGCCTTGCAGCTCATGCGACTCGGCGACGCTTCAAATATCTCTCACGGACGCACTTCGGCATCAACGTTGGATGATGCGTTCAGTGGACGCGCTGACGCTGCCTCATCCGCCACCAGCAATAGTGACGACGATGGTGAAGATGCAGAACGACCTTCTCTTCCAGCTCTTCCAGCTCAGCCAAAGCTGGAAGCCAGCCCAGTGCTCCGGCCAAATGCCATCAGAAGGCATCACAAGCACCTTAATGATGGCCTGCCCAGCACGGATAGCACCGAGCCCAGCGGTGACGAGGTAGACGGGGACTACGTGTATGACGATAAGAAGGATGGACTGTTCAAGAGCGAGCCAGATGACGTGGCCACTGATTTCGGTCCAGCTGTCAAAACGAAAGTACCTGGATCGAGGCATCGCAACATGTCAAAGGCGAGCAGCGTCAGCTCGTTGAAGAACACTTCCAAGGTGTCCAAGTCGAAGGCAACAGCCAACGCGAAGAAGGCTAAGCCGTCTCCACTTCCCTCTACAGCAAAGGTGCCTCCTTCACCCGCCTCGCTTCCTCCCCCCTCGCGCAAGACATCTTCTGCGTCGACCGTCAACTTCCAGCACCAAGGCGACGAAGACTTGTCTTCTAAGCCACGCTGCCAACGCTGCAGAAAGAGCAAGAAAGGGTGCGATCGTCAACGCCCCTGCCAGCGCTGCAAAGATGCTGGTATCGGAGCTGAAGGGTGTATCAGCGAAGACGAAGGTAACGGTCGTAAAGGTCGGTTCGGGAGACACATGGGTGTGGCTGTCAAGAAAGACGCCCAGGACATCTCTACACCCAATGAGACCGAAGAGGCAGGTGCAATTCTGGATGGTATGGCTGGTGGTCAGGAGAAGAGCAAGAAGAGAAAGCGTTAGTAGTTGGGCAGGCGCTTCTTCGACTACGTTCCGAGCGGTATTGCGGGGCACGTCACAGATGTTAACCGGAACAAACCACCCATGATTGTCGCCTTCGCTTCGCTGGACTACAGATTTCCGGAACTTGCTTGGGTGGCTTGGCTGTATACATGGCATGCTGATTGACGATTTTTCGGATCAGACCTTTCTCGACCGTCGAAGATACTGCGGTTTCCAGGGGGACTTTGCCGCGTGTTCTTAACTGCAATTCGTACCAGTATTCTCAAGGGGCGACTACCATCTACCCAAGTATTATCGGCTACGAAACCTTTATGGAGCCTGAAACTGCGCTCAACGTTCTACAATATGTCTTAATATCCGCTTTGCAGCAACACCGGTGTCCACATCCATCATGGCTGTCTCCATTCAGATTCTCTTCGACTACTCGGATGGTATGTTGGATAAGCATCATTCCTTTCGGACCTACCGAGTCTCAAGCTAGGCTGCCATCTCATGTTTTGCTCTTTCTCGCTATCAAAAGCCATTTTTTGTCTGTCGTGTTTTTTCATGATGCCAGCGTAATGTTGATGAAGAGCCAATGACCGGAGAGCAAAGAGGCGACAGACAGGAGAAAGGTTTGTGGCTGGCGCAAGTTTGGTGAGGGCGCTCTAAGGGACAGGCAAACGATTGTACACGAATCTTGATAGTAGTCAATCAGCAATCACACATTATTAAATACCTACATGTACAATGTAGATTATCTGTAAAGGTTCTAGATGCCCTTCCAATTACATCACTTTATTTCTTTGCATATTTTCGTTTGATCGACAGGACGTTGAAATAAGCGCGCACGGAGACGCTGGCCTTAACTGCACTAGTCCGCTGTGGGCAATGATCGTTTTACCTCGCTTCACAGATATATCCTTGCCCTAAACCAATCATAAGGCACCATAGACGTATTAGTCAGAATGTGCGAGCAGATAGTTTCCAAATATCAATACACTTATATACGTCCACAATGCCTCCAAAGATCATACCACGTCCAAGGCAATCCGCTCGGAAAAATCGAGACACCACACAAGAGTATGAGTCCCTGGACGTTGTGAGCACACCTTCATCCAAGGAAGCTCTAGCCAACGATGACAACGAGGTCCAAGATATATCTGGATCTGGCAACGCAGAACAGACGGATGTACCAGAGACACAGCCTGAAATTTTCACTTCTCGAGATGTATCAGCATCCACACCGACCGTAGTCGCGGGCTCTCCACCTCCCAGACGCTCGGTGCAACGACTAAAATCTGCCTTGCCGCGAAACTCACCGAACCCTGCTTCCAACTCAAGTGTAGCAGATGGCTTAGACAATCGACCCACTGGTCTCAAATTTAAGCCCAAATCTTTCATTCGCCGCAGCAAAGAGGAGCGAGAAGCTGAAGAGAAGGCTGAAGCTGTGCGAAGGGCAGCAAGGCAAGCCGTAGAAGGAACGTCATCTACGAGCGACCGAGGTGGAAATTATGGCAGAGGAAGAGGACGTGGACAGCGCGGAGGCTTTGGCGACATGAGCAAATGGAAGAACGAAAGGTTCAATCTCAGTCATGAAGCTAGTGGGCATCTAGGTGGGAGTACGATACAGGAAGCAGCTATGAGCAGAAACAGGCGTGGCGGGGGTTTTCGAGCAGGAAATGCAGGCCCGTCCGAGGCAGTTTCTACCAGTGGTACGTCCCGCGTCAAGAAGGAGCCCGCTGTGAAGCCAGAAAAGGACAGAGATGGAGACGTGATTATGAGTTCGTCAACCTCCAAACCAAAGCGGACGAAAGTCAAAAAGGAGGATCAAGGCCCAACCTACGTTTCTTCCGAAGGCGAGCTGGATTCTGATGGAGGAGAACGAGTCAACATCGAAGATATCAACATCATCAACCTCGTCTCATCTGAGGATGAGGATGAGGAGCCAGTTCAGCCCTCCCGTATTTCGAAAGGGAAGCGGCATGAAGCAACGCCGCGGGTACCCGGTAGCAATCTCATGCCTGTCCGAATTCAAAGACAAGAGCATGTGGAGCGGGCTGTTGGTGTAAATACAGACGCTAGTTCTCTGACATCGGCAGAATTACGGCGTAGAGCAAAAATCCGAGCTGAGGCTGGAGGTAGCCTTTTTCTGCCCGAAGGGGATGAAGCGGACGTCTTGTCAGCTACGAAACCCAAGACTGAAAGGAAGCCTAAGGATGTGGAGTTCGTACGTAATGAGCGAAAATGGAAGGGTGTTTATCAGGACGAGGACGACCGGGAGGGCATCGTCAAGATCAAAACTGAGCCAAAAGACGACAGAGATGTCATGTTGACTGACAGGTCCATGGGCGATGGGGAAACAGAGCCAGTTCCGCTCGACGACATTGACCTTGCCAATACATCTACGCGGCCTACTGTGAGCGACAGCGACGGCACTCTCAAATCCCAGGCATCGCTCGAAGGTCCGGGAGCAGCGCCAGAGGGAGATCCCCTTCCGCACTCTGGTGAGAGGCTTCGAAGGATCAAAGGTTATCACGGCCTCAGACCAGTAGAGGTCTCTGAGGAAGAGGAAGAGGACGAAATATTTGCAGAAATCGCGGACATCGTGTTAACAAAGAACGACGTTCCTATGGATACTTCCCGTCCTGAGCTTGCTTCTTCTACGAAAATTCCCGATGATGATGGCGACCTGGACCTGGATAACGAGGGTGCTTATTTCCAGAGAGGCGGGAAGGAAGAAGTCTATTTGTTCCAGCTTCCGCCTGTTGTACCTAGCCTACGAGACATATCAAAAGCAACATCGAAATCCGAAGACAAGAAAAAGAACAAGGCAGTATCAGCTGAAGCTCCAAGATCCTCAGCTTCAAGAACCCCGTTAAGTACCCAGATCAAAGACGAACCCAACATTAAACCCGATCCTGACGAGCTACACCACGAGACTGCCGTCCCCCACGCCTACACATCCGACTCCTTCCACCCCACAGGTGGCTGGGGAGGTGCTCTCAGCATCCATGCCAAAGGTTCTATGCTAGCAACATGGGGCGGTATGAGCTTCGAAATCAGCAAAGAAGGCACTGGCGCAAAGCTGGCGCAAGAGTTGATCATGACGGAGTTTGAAAGTGCGCTAACGAAAGTGGAAGACGAGAGCAGATGGGAGGAGAAAGTCGATGTAGGTAAAATGGGATACGCGATGGGACAGACCCATCCAGGGCATGTGTGTATACCCGAATTGAGCGATCTGCTTTCATGATTGGCCTGCGAGACCTCAATGGCGATTGCATAGCATTGGCGCCGGTAGACCGTGGCAGCATCATGATAGATGAATGCGAAATCCAGAAAAGGTTGGACAAATATTATTGTTTCCATAAACATCAAGCCCATCATTTACAGCCTACCACTGGCCTGAAAGCTCTTGACGTTTGCTAAGTATACTTCGGAAAACAACACCTTGGTGACACCTGTTAGTAGACGTCGACAAAGCAAGCCAATTTTCTCTTTACCCCCTTCTTACGGCAGACAACCCTCTTCTGTTCGCCGAAACCCAGGTGCTTTCGTCCATGCTTTCATTGGCATCCTAAAGGGCAGGTTCCGATGCCATCGCCGTTCCCTCCCACCTCCTCTCATCCCGGTCAAGGCAGCATTCATCTGACCCTCCTCCCACCATCCACGCCCGCCTTCTCCACCCTCACCTACACCTATCCCCTAAAACTCCTCCCGTCGCGCCCCCACAGACTCCCAGCCCCTGGGCCCCCGCGTCCGCCAGGTCCAGATGCGTCGCACTCGCCCGCCAGCGTCCCGCTCCTCTTCCTCCTCACCTACGGCGGCGGCCTCGTGGCCGGCGACCGCATCGATCTCTCCGTCCGTCTCGACCCGGGCACGCGCCTGACCCTTACGACCCAGGGTAGCACGAAGATCTTCAAGCCTTCCACGGGGCCTCCGCCGACCACGCGCCAGGATCTCGGCGTCCGTGTGTCCAGTCATGCGGCGCTGTGGATAGCTCCCGACCCCGTCCAGCCCTTCGCCGGTAGTCTCTACGCGCAGAAACAGATCTTTCACGTTGAGAGTGGAGGTAGTGTAGGCTTCGTCGACTGGGTGAACGAGGGTCGGAAGGCGAGGGGCGAGAGCTGGGCGTTTGAAGGATGGAGGGGTAGGAACGAGATATGGGAGATCTATGGCGAGGGGTTGCAGAAGAAGAGGATGCTTGTAAGGGATGCCGTTGTGCTTGATGGGAAAGGTATACAAGGTAGGATGGATGCCATGGGAGTATTCGGCACTGTGCTGCTACGAGGCCCACTCTTCAGAGCCCTTGCGGACTTTTTTGTGGAAGAGTTTCAGGCACTGCCGAGGATTGGTGGGAGGGATTGGGCTAGTACGAATGATGCCGTACAGGAGCTTACGGCCAAGGAAGAGTGGAGAAAGAAGAGATTGCTGAGGGAGAAAGAGGACGGTGTGCTATGGACGGCCTGCCATGTGAGGGGCTGCACTGTTGTCAAATTTGCGGCTAAGGAAGTCGAAGGGGCAAAACAATGGCTGGGGAGCATGCTGAGGGAAGAGGGTAGTGTGGGTCAAGAGTTTGGCGATGGGGGTCTGATGTTCGTGCGGTGAACAGTTGGATTCGTGCCATCGCAATTGAGACCGCCATCCTGCAGGTCTGAATATCAAGGACAGAGCAGTATTGGTATGTATGTCAGTGATCATATAATCCAATTGTCCACCGTCAAGCTCAATCATTTAACATGAAGAATAGAACCGATAGTCAAGGATGCCATGCCGTCTCATTCAAAGAGCTGCGTAGGCAGTCCCCGTGGGCGTAATACTCCCGAACTCATCGAACAGACTACTCGCCGGCTGAACGCTGATACATGGCACTGCGAACCAAGCGAAGCGTTCGATATAGCTCAACTCGTCCATCATCTTTACCGCCGCCTGCATGTAAGCCACCTGTTCTGCAGTGCTTGGAACCGTTGCCGGATCCTTGCTGTAATCGACATAAGCCCATTCGGTGACCCAAATCGGGAGCTTGTACATGTTGTATACGCCCTCGATATAGCTCTGGAACTTGGACACGTCACCGTTGGGGGAATAATAGTGCAAGCAGATGAAGTCTGGCGGGCTGCCGGCTTTGATGACGCTGGTCATGAAATCATAGAACCAGTCTCCTTGCGTGAGACTCGTACTTGCAGGGGCCGGGCTACCCATACGCTTCCCAACCGTCTTGACTATATTGGGCCAGACTTGAGCAGCAGTTGCGGAATCAACGGGTGCCGCTGTGGCGTCTGGCTCGTTCCAGCCAACGACTTCTTTGTAGGAGCTCGAGGCCAGGGATGAATAATCCGACGTGCTATCGAACATAGCTACGAGGTCAACCCCAGCCGGGGCGGTTCCTTTGAAGGAGTTCTCCAGTGGATCATCGGAGCAATCGTAGGCCCAGGTAGCGTGAATGTCGCTCGTCATTGTCGCAATTTCCTTGAAGTACCAAGGACCCGCCCCCTTTCTGCTACTGACTGAAGCGCCCGCAGCGCCAGTTGAATTATTGGTTCCTGAGTTGGACGAGCCAATGTTGTTTGAGCTGTGATCTGTGCTTGTGCTGTCACTTGCGGAAGCCTTCTCTACTGGGGCAGCAGCCGGATCAGCGCCTCCGTCTGTGCTTGTGTCGCTACTCGTCGAAGCAGCCTGCTGGGAATCCTTCACTTCTCTTCTGTCGGATCAACAGTATCCTCAGCATTCGAAGTCTCTGGAGAGGCATCGCAGGATTGATCCTTACCATCATTTCCAGAGACTCCGCCTGACTGCGACACTGGGGCCGAAACACCACTCGAGCCCTGTTCTGAATACGCGGTGTTCTCGCCAGCAGCGGCCTGTTTAGGTTGACCGTTATGGTGGTGCCAATGGGCACGAGGAAGACCTAACGAGGAGCATATCAGCGGCAGGGAACTAAGGGAAGAGAGTAGGCTCACTAGCTGAAGCAGCTGTCGACACCAAGGTCAGGAATGCAAGAGAGAGTGTTTGGTAATGCATTGTGAATATAGATGGTCTGCCCGAGATCAAGAATGGACCTTGAATCAATCAATGATGGTGAGTAGAAAAAGACTAGCTGGCACCCGTCTTCGAGGGGCCTCGAGGAAAGTCATTCGAACGCTGCCATTCTCACGGGAGGCGAGCCCCTCACATAGGCACATGAAGCGTGAGAAAGTACCATCAAGCACGAGGGAAGGAGGGCGGCGGCATGTTGAAACCACGAGGAGATGAGCCGACAAGGACATGGTCCTTCTGAAGCATGTAATCGTCGGCGCACACCTCCTGGTCCATGCATCTTAAAGCTGTCAAGTAAATTAGCTGGCACAAAGGATAAACTGCCCCCCGCCTTCGCTGAAAACCAGCGTAGTTTTTAAAAATTTTCTTCGTGTGGAAGGGCTTTAAAAGGGGGAGAGGTGCGCTTATCAACAATCCACGGCAGAGACAGATGAAAGGCAAGGCGGGCGAAATAGGAATCTAGTACGGCGGACGACGGCTGAACTACGACAAACAAATCTTTTTGCGATTTAGTACTCTCTAAATTTAATATTCCAACTCTCGAGAGGTACTTTTGAGGCACCTTAGGCTACTCTCCGGGGTACCTGGGATACTCCCTTTGGTACTCTCAGGTACTTCGCTGAAAACCAGCGTAGCGATTTCAGACACATTCGAAGGTCCAATGTCGCGTATAGAAGCGCTTAACGATGGAGAGAGGTGCGCTTATCAACAATCCACGGACCAGGAGTCCAGACCACCGATCTGAAACCCGGCAACGGCTGGTGGCGCGAAGATTGGAGGAGATTCGTTCCCATAGTGCCGGGATCTGTTCCTGCATATCCGTGCAACCAGTAGTAACATCTGATGATTATTCAAGCTTCGACGTCTGCAAAAGAGCTCGACGGAATGTGTAACTTACATACAAATTGCAAAAGAGTAACATCCTGTCATACCTGAACATGCCAGACGACAACCGCCATAGGCGGACTCCTTGCTTCCCTGTCTCGTGTATAAGCGCCACTCATATGGACAAACAGAGTGTTGGATATCTATCCCAGCGTGTAGAACAATCATACCACCGGAAAAAATTGTTCAAAAAAAATCACACAATGGTATGAATGATTAATCGCCCATGACATTGTCATCTTCGACCTCATCCGCACCTGCCCTTGCAGTTTCTTCTTCAGCACTCTCCTCATCAGGATCCACAATCCGATCCTCCACGAGCTCCTTCTCCCTCAAATCTTCCTCCCCTCCCTCCTCCACTTGCCTTTCTTCCCCACTCTCCTCGTCTTCGTCCTCGATCTCCACAGGTTTGACCACCTTCTTCCCCCCTCTTTTCGCAGGAGCTCTCTTCTTGCCCTTCGGCTTCGGTCCCTCCAGATAGGCCAACACCTCTTTGAAATTGCTACCGAGCTTCCCCTTGTTGCGCTGTAGACGCTCTTTGATTTTGCCCTTGTTCGGACCTTCGTGATCGAGAATGCGACCAACAATCGCAAGCACCATCTTGCCCGCTATCTCACACAGCCGTTTCTCGGCAATCAAGGTATCCTGTTGAGCATGACTTGGGTCGTCTTCATCCTCGTCATCCGAGCTATCCTCTGGATCAGAGGCGAGATCATCGTCAGGCGCAGCTTCCAGTGTGCGGCGAGATTTCTTGGCGAAAGATTTCTCGAGGGCTGTGTAAGTCGACAAGATGAGAGATTCGGCGGACGTTGGAATATGTCGAATAAGAGACTGGATATCGTCGGCATTCTGGTAGTTGGGTGGGATTTGTACATGACGGAACGTAGCGAAAAGAGTGTAAAGATCGAGCAAGGTGCCGACAGCCGCCAGACGAACAGGGGAGGCAGCGGGGCGACTGTCGACGAGTGTTTCAAGGCTTTGAGCGAACAGAGCGATGTCGGGAAATTTTGGTACGGCGGTGCCCGAAGAAATGGCGGTTTGAAGCGAGCGTACGGTCCACATGGTGTAGAACAGCAGCGCCTTTGTGGCGCCAATTAATGTCTCGTCGGCTTCTTCACCAGCTCCGTTATCTAGCTCGGGATCACGGATCAATTCCATGAGAAGATCCAACGGGCTTGCGGTCGTCTGATGGCTTGCTTTCTTTTTCGATGCTAAACTTCCTTCCATATCCAACACAGCCACACAGTCGGAGATGCTGGCTAAGTTTGCTATCCGTCGAACGGTGCTGCAGAGTTCTGATAAGTTGTCGTCCTCCCGGGAACTCATTAATGCCCGCAAGGTACCAACCGTATCATCCCATAGATCCTGTACTTTGCTTTCCGTGACCTCTTCCAAATCCTCGAATCTACGAGCGTGGAGAAGAGCGGTGCTAGCTTCTGCAAGGACGCCTCGGTCCGTATGGGTGAGGAATTGTTTGTTGATGTCATCCAGAAGCGAAGCATATTTTGTTGAATCTTGACGTAGCTCTTGGAATATCTCTAAATTCAAGACCTGTCCCAGTCGTAGAACTGCGGAAGCTGTACCAGGGTTTGTACCAAATTTCTTTAGTAGTTGAGGCAACGCTTTGGCCAAATGTAGCGCAGTACTTTCTTGGATCCCTCGAGACTGTTCCTTCAGTGCTTTCGTCTTGTGGCCCTTTTTGTCGGTCTCAGCTTCAACAGCCTCGCTAAGTCTGGCTTTGACCGCCACATTAAGGATTTCGAGGAGAAGTATTGTTTCCTTCTCATTCAGCTTACAACGGGATTCTAATGTCGCATCGGCGCCTTTCGAGGGTTGATCCGTACTGGAGAGGTCGAAGAGGAGATACCCTGCCAAAACTTCCCATTCCCTTGCAATAGAGATACCATCACATATAGTGCGAGCTGCCAACGCATATCGAGAGTCCACACCGGTTGCGATCAGACCGCCGCCACCAGCGGCTTCACTCGATGCTGAATCCTGCTCATTATCTTCGGCGTCGTAAGATTGCAACGCCTCTGCAACGCATTTCAGCTTCAGCCAGCTTGATCTTGGTATGTCAAAGTCGTCTTCGACTTCTTCCCCAAGAATGTCAGCGAGACCTTCCTCGCCACCTAAGTCTTCGAATGTAGTTTCATACAAGTCGTTGATGTTCTCAGCAAAGAAGCCGGCGACCGCTTTACGAACGCGAGGCTCCGTGTCGAAAATCAGCCTCCCAACAATATCGATATCGTCTGGTTCTAATAGCCCAGTCTTCCGGATCATGTCTAGCAGCTCCACGGTAGATGCCCTGATGCTGACTTCTGAATCCCGAACGGCCATCTCGACTATTCGCGAGCGAAATTTCTCAGTGAACGTGCGGAGCCGAGGCGTGTTGTCCTTGTTCTTGAACAGCTTTCCAAGCTGCTTGACTACTTCTGCTCGGGTCGGCGTAGAAATGTCGGACAAGACCCATCCTAAATAGCGTAAATGCATGCCGTCGAAGTAAACATCTGGAAGTGTGGTGATCCAATTTCCCAAGGCCGTAACGCATTCAAGGCGTATTTTTGGGTCGACATCTCGATATCGGTGAATGAAGACAGCATCGAATAAATCTTTCATACTATCTAGCACCTGAGCGCGCCGTCTGTCTCCCTCTGCAATCTTTGCTTCCAAAGCCTTGACACGCTCCTTGTTCACGCTCTTCTTCTTTTGCTCGCCTTCCTTCTGCCTCATCGTCTTCGCTGCATTGTCGGCAATATCTGCTGCGACGGTACAAAGCGTACTTCCAATGGTGAGGGCTATGACAGTCGCAGTGTGCCGGAAAGGTCGAAGAGTGGAGGACGACATTGTGTGTACCCATACCTCGATGTTCTCAAGGATCGCCAAATCGCTGTACAAGAGGCCTGCTGCGTGGCAAGTCGAAATGAGGGTTACAAAGAAGCCGGACAATGTAGAGCGAAAGGCGGCGTTGCCCTTGGCCTTAGATATCAATGGATAATCTGCGGGTTTAAGTGCGTGGTATTCTTCCTGAATATCGCCGAGCTTGCTGGGAGCGTTGTCTTGGTCTTCAATATCGTGAACGTCAACCTCGCTATTGCATCCAGCACATTTTATGACAAAGTTGATCATGTCGCACATAGCTTCCGCGTTGTTCTGGTCCCATCGCGCAATCCAATCTGCCGCAACAGCATCTAAGGTGTGGCCTTGGGAGAAAACCTCGTCTATGACATTGTTAGCCTATGTACAGGATCTTGCATGGTCTGTCCACTAACAGTACAGTCCAGTGCCATTGTCTTCGGCATTTTTCACAGGACGCGCTCGTGGTTGTTTGAGTCTCGCAATTTTCTTGATCCCATTGATCGCTGGTCGCACGGCCAGACTTGTAGTCAAAGCAGGGCCTGTCCTCGGCTTCTTGGCGACAGACTTGCTGGGCGCCTTCTTCGGTCTCGGTGCCTTCCTCCTCCTTTCCTTCAGTTCTTCTTCGTCTGGGTCGCTTTCCTCGTCACTGTCTTCGTCCTCGGAATCGGTGTCGCTGGAGTCCGCCGCGTCCTGGGCTGGTGGATCTGCGCGCTTTCTCTTGCCGCTGTTCCCAGTGCTGACCTGGGAGATATTGGGATCTTTGTTGAGCAGGACGGGCTTCTGAGTTGCACGCCCGGATTTCCTGCGATTCACCGTGCTACTCATGTCAAGGCTTGTATCAGGTGTTGCAGGATCGGACAGCTCCATGCTTGATGATCTGACAGGCATCTAGCAATTTTGACTCTGGAAGGGGAAATGTACAAACAATCGCGTGCGCAGGATGGCGTGTCGATATTCCTTGGCGCGACTTTGCGCCTGAGATCCACTAGCAGCCCGCATCACATGACCTCAAATCTTCTACGGCCCGGCATTGGTGTCTTCCAGCTAGAGCATGATGTACAGTTAAGTTAGATACAATCCAATCCAATCCTTGAGGCTGAGCTCTTACTGTTACAACAGCCATTCTTTCAGGCGGCGCGTCCTTGGGCTCAACGAAAGATCGCGAGGTTTGAATACAAGTCGTCACTTTCCCAACAGCTAACTTACATGTTGGTTAACAAAGCGCTGCGATTTCCTATTGTACATTGTTATCCTTCCTGTCTGCCTCCGAAAAGCCACTAGTTCGCTAGTACTTTTGCATAAAGTAGCACACAAACAAGCACCCGCCGCATCACGGCCCGGAGGATGCTCCTCTTTGCCAAATGTCAGACCTAAAGAGGTCCGTTTGGATGTATCAGGACCTTCGTGTAGCCTTCAACTCTCTTGTCAAACTTCTCGTAAGCCTTGGGAGCCTCATCAATGCCGATCTCGTGCGAAACAACGAAGCTTGGGTCTGCTCGCCCAGAGATGATCATATCGCGCAAATATCGATTGTATTTCTTGACGTTGCATTGACCGGTGCCAATTGTAAGGCCCTGAAAATGTCCCTCGATTAACATCATGCAGGCACAGCCACTTTCCAAAAAAGAAAAGGAAAAAAGGAGCCCGAGAACAAACCAAGGTAGACTGACCTTCTCGAACAACTTGCCAAAACTCATTAACATCATTCCTTGAGAACTCTTCTCATCCACCGCCCCTGGATCACTAGGCACGTACAGCCCTGGTACACCTATGCCTCCAGTCGGCCTCGTTACTTTGATGCATTGCTCAAGCACTACATTCGGGACCTCTCCTGCCTCTTTCCCAGAACCTACAGCCTGATATCCCACCGCGTCTATTGATCTATCCACCATCTTCCCGTCATTCTTCCTTATAATCACATCCACCGCATCCTCACCCGCGCTGAAGTCAACAGGTGTGCAACCAGGTATTTTCTTTGCGGCAGCAAGGCGCTCTGGAACCTTGTCAACGACGTAGATTCTGGAAGCACCCCGAAGAAAGGCGCTGTAGGCCGCCATCAAGCCCACCGGCCCCGCACCGAAGACCGCGATCGCTTCTCCGGGCTTAAAATTTGAGAGTGTAATACCATGCCAACCCGTTGGAAAAATGTCCGCGAGAAGAGCGAACGAGGCTTCGTGCGCAGTGCCTGGAGGGAGAGGGAGGGCATTGAAGTCGGCGAAGGGGATGCGTAGGTATTGTGCCTATGGTAATTGACAGATCAGCGTCATCATCAAATTGTGCATACAGTTTGGAAAGCTGTAGCAGAACCTGAGCAGGGAAATTATACCTGACCTCCAGCATAAGGGCCCATTGCAACATACCCATAAGCTGATGACTTTAGATTAGTCAGAGGACCAAAAACGGTAAAGGAATGCGTACCTCCTCCAGCGAAACCAGGGTTGACACCGGTACAGAATGCGGTATTACCCTCTTCACAATTCAAGCAGCGGCCGTCAGCGACATTAAAGGGCAGGACCACCCTATCACCCTTCCTCAGTAGCGTTACACCGCTACCAACCTCTGAGATGATACCCATATTCTCATGTCCTAGAGAAACAAATCGCGCGGTTGTCAGCCAATTGGCTCGTAGACGGGTCTTCGATATCGAACAGCTATAGCGCTTTATGGAAGCCCACGATCCTACCGAAGATAAGGCCTGCCTCTGCAGCTGTTCGTCCTTGGTACATGTGCAGGTCTGAGCCGCAAATTGCTAGCACTGGATGTCAGTGTCCTGTTCCTGCTAGTATCGTGGACTCTTACCAGCTGTAGTTACTTTAATGATTGCATCGTCTGGATGTTCGATCTTTGGCAGGGGCACTTCTCGAACGCTGACTTGGAAGGGCTTCTCATAATGAACAGCCTTCATGGTGGTGGAAGACATATTGAGCTCTGGAACAATTGATCGAGTATGGGAAAAGGTTGCTTGTACGACTGTCTAGAGACGACATTCTTTCATCCGATCGAATATTTGCATGAAGGGCTGGTAATAATTTGTCTCCACATTGCGGGGAGGAATTGGCGGGGTAGAAGGCGAGGTATGACGTAGATCCTCAAGCCCGGCAATCATAAAAAGCTCTCGTCCGAAGAGGTGGAAAGAGAATACTAAACAGGGCGGCGTTTCGATGCTTCACTCATTGCTGGCACCATGGGAGAGCATGATGGATGGCTATTTCGCGGAGCCATCCGTGAGCTTGTTCGACATCTTGGAGCAAGCAGCATTATTCGAGCTGAGCCTCGACTTGAAATGAGAATCAAGTTGGAGCAGAAGAGGGCGATAATGCGAGAGATGAAGGTTGAAGAAGGAAGACAAACGAAGAAGCACCGGAGGTCTCGTGCTCTTCCAATCCAATCAATAAAGTAAGGTACTCCTCGTACTCTGTATGTTAACGTATGTACTGGTCAGATTTTCCTGGGACTTAAGGCTTGGCTCAGACTAGCGTATCTAACTAGCGCGGTCCTCTCCAAAACACGTGGATCGGTTTGACGCGTGAGAGAGGAATTGGGAATACTTACTGTACCATAACATTTTGAGTCTTAACGAAAATTAAATATTAATACCTAGTTGTTATTGGTTTCACCGGAGCTCAAAATTGGTGGTGCTCAGTCACACTGACTGACTTGACGCAAAACATAAGACACGTAATGTGATACTGATTCAAAACGCGTTATGTGTTTGTTGTTTTGTATTCATTGGTATTTCCTTCCACTCGATATCTTTTAAAAGAATAGAAGAAACGACTAGAGACTTCGATCAAGCCTTAGTGATACCTGGGAGTGGGCCTAGCAGCTATGTCTTCGCCTATCCCTCGAGGCTACCTGGACATCAATTCTGCATTGGGCCGAGTAAACGCTGAAGTCAGTCTGATGGGCGTGGTTACCGACTTCCTCACGCCCTGCATATCACGAGGCACCGATTGGATGTCTTCATTCTCAATAGTCGACTCGTCTTACGCTGGTGTCTGCGATAACGGCCTCAAAGTTCGCTTCTTCAGGCCATTGGCGAGCGAGATGCCTGCGATCAGGGGGACTGGCGATATAGTCCTTCTACGAGGTATCAAAATCAAGGAGTGGTGCGGAATGACCATAGGTCTGTCGACTCGGAGAACGTCTTGGGTGGTCTTTCCGGCAGATTCAATCCCAGCAAAACCACCATTAACTCCTGTGCAGCTCAAGAACATCAAAGAGGCTCGTGGTCTTGCTCCTGCTCTGTCTGAAATGCACTATGCCATCAGTCTTTGTAATTCCTGCAACAGAAGCACATTCACTGCCTCGTATTCTCCACCTACCGGATCAGCTTTAAAACCATTACTTGATACTCCATCGACCGTGCAGATAAGGGACAAGTTCTCCCTCGTCAAGGATGTGAAGGTTGATACATTCTATAATCTCGTCGGACAAGTTGTCAAGCTGTATCCAAGCAACGGGCGCGTCGAACTATACATCACAGATTACACGGCAAATTGCCTGCTCTGGAACTATCCAGAACCCGATGATGGAAATGGATCTGGCCGGGAAGGAGACGAGTACAACTATACCGCAGCCAACTTGGCGAACAATAAATGGAAGGGGCCTTATGGGAAAATGACCCTGACCGTGACTCTGTGGGACAACAACGCGCATTTTGGCCAGCAACACATCAAGGAGAATGACTTCGTTCACATTCGAAATGTGCACATCAAGTTCAGCAAGGACGCCAAAGTCGAAGGAAACCTCCATGCAGATAGGCGATATCCTGAACGCATTGATGTGACCGTACTGAAAAACAATGATGATGATGAACGCGTCAAAGATGTGCTCCGGCGCAAGCGGGACTACTGGAAGAAGTTCAACAACAAGGTGGAGGATTTTGCTCACCAGACCAAGGCACTTAAGCGGAAAGGCATGGAGGATGACAAACCTCTGTCAAAGCACCAGGCCAGGAAGAAGCGGAAGCAAGAGAGTAAGCAGCTCGGTAGGTCACAAAACCAGGGTGAGGAAGACCAGAGTGAGAAGGAAAACGACGTAAGAGAGGACAGAAATCGCCATTTCAAAAAGAAGCATACACTTGACCATCGCTCACCACCCCAAAAGCAAGAGCTGAACAGTAATGGTAAGCAGGGATTGGTTGGGCGAAAGATCTTGGCTGATGTACTGGCCAAGCAGTCAGATGCGCACACCATCTCATAGCCCCGCGGCCTGTGTCCTCTATTATCTCGCTTGATAAGCACGCTAACACCCCGCCGAACGGAGCACCATACACCTTACCCTTTCAGAACATCAACTCACGTGCTACAGTCCGTGTCATTGACTTCTTCCCCCCTAGTCTTGTTGATTTCGCCGTTCCTCGTCCGAGAGCCTCAGAGTACGCCATTCTATCCGAAGATGAATGCAGCGAAAGCGGTAGTGACCAGCAAAGTAACGACCTGGATGACAGATCTGAAGCGGAGGATGCACAGTGGGAATGGAGGTTTGGTTTGGTGCTGGAGGATGCCCTAGGCGCTAGACACCAGGAGAAAGTAAACATTGAAGTTTATGTAACCGGCCAAGATGCAGAGGGTCTACTGAAGCTTGAAGCAGAGGAGTGAGTATCTTTGCTACTCGCTTTCAACGCCATGGCTAAAATTTCATCCTCACTCCTAGCCTTCGCAAATCGCCCACCGCTCTAGATACCTTGCGTGAGAGATTGTTCCTCTTATGGGGTGATCTCGAAGAGCGAAAAACCCGCAATGCAACGGCTCTCAAGCAAGTCGATGGCAATTCGCCATCCCCCAGGAAGGTTGCAGCGCCGAGGATGAAACCGTTCCAATGCTGCCTCAAAGAATATGGCGTGAAGAAGAGAACGCAACGGATTACGGAGGAAAATGCCAGCGAGGGTGAAGATGAAAGTGGAGACGAACGTGGGCAAGACCGAGTTTGGGAGAGAAGATGGAGGATGTTTGGGTGCACCATTTCCTGAGCCGAGTCTTGAGTATGCGAGAGAAGATGAGGACCTTGCACGATTTCTTGATCTGAATGCCACTTCCAAGGGTCTTGATTTGATGGCTTAGCTATGGATCGTATTATACCCAATCTGATGAAGCTGCTATTCTCGCTACTATGACTGCTCCTCCATAGTGAAATATTAATGTGCCAGGAGGGCATGTTGTTCCCGTTAGCCATTATGTGATTTAAAAACGCTAATCCCACTACCATGACTGCTTCTTTTCAGTGAAAATGGAACCTGCCAGAAGCGCATACTATCTGGTTGCCGATATGTGACTTGAGAGCACATGTGTTTGTGTACCACACCGCGTCAAGTCGATATGACCGCCATCTGGCGGTATCCTACTTTCCTACTTTCAGAGTCTTGACAACGGCCCTATCGAGCCCATGCAACTCCCTCTCAAAGCGGCAATTCTCACCCCAACGACAATCCTTCTTTCCTACATTATGGCCCCAGGTTAGCACGCGGACTGCAATAATTGGAAATTTTTCAAAAAAGGTAAGGTTGAAGGAGACCGGGTACATACCTTCGACATCGTTGGGGCATCGATGCCCGTATATGCACTTCAGATCATCACACTCGCTACCAAATTTGCAAGGCGTCATACGACTTACATACTTGAGCGTCGCCATCTCGTTCTTGTTGGGTTTGTAGAAATGATCGTGGGTACATGGGTCGTAAGGACAATCACCTCGTAAAAAGTCTGGAGATCACCGAGTCAGCGTTCCCCTTCAGCATAGAACCGAAGTTCGAGATCAAATTCAGGGCGGTTGAAGGTGGAAGCGTCCAACTACCAATGATGACAATTATGCGAACTTCAGTGATCTACTTACGGACGTTACACATCTTGAGTTTTTTGATGCGCTTGACTTCATTTGGATCGTAGGACATGATAGTGTCGATCCGCTGGCCGTAGCGGTTGCGAAGCACTTGCTTGGTGACATTTGCAGTTGGCTGAGGCGTGGGGGGGGGTGAAGCCATTTGGGAAGGCGCCGTCATTGCGGCGGAAGCCCATGTGGGAGCCGCTGGATTCAGTGGCGCCGAGGGCGATGCGGAGATTGTACGTGCAATGCCCGGTTGATATGGTGACTGGTAGGGGGGTAATCCCGCTGTTAGCTGCACTTGAGGCGGTGGTAACCCCGGGGGCTGAGGATACTGTTGATTGTAAACGTTGATTTTTGTAGCACGGAACAGTCCCTCGAATCTTGTTGTACGATAGGTTGATTTCAGCTGGAATAGCTCTCTTTCAAATGGAACGCCTTCCAAAAGGGTAATCTGATCGCGAATTGGTTTATCAGGAACATCCTCCAGTAATCGAGCGTAGCCGTTATCGTGGGAACATCCAAAGAGAATGCGCCGGCAGTGAGAGTCGTAGAGATGAAGCTTGAAGATTTCTGGAGAATTGTGAGCCACTCGAGCTGACGATCGTAATTGGAACTCACCAGATATTTTGTCATCAGCACGGTCTTTACCTACAAGATGTCTGGATCAGTATCCCCTTTCGACACAACTACTGAGCCATTAAACTCCTAAAGAGCATGACACTCCCGAAATATGCATTGCAACCCGGATACATGCTCGAGTTTGAAAGAGAGTAGCTCAAAGGTTTGGCTTACCAACACCAACATCCACAAAGTCGAATAATTGCTTGCTTCCGGTAAATCCTCGCGCAAAGTCCTCAATCGCGGACGACGTAGTTAATATACCTGACCTTTTGCAGACATCGCCAAGGCCTTTCAGATTGGCATATATCCTTGTGACAATTTTAACGTCGGATGGTAAGTCTGTGTCGGTTTGGAAATGGTCCATGACCGCGTTCCAGAGCAGACCAGCGGCTTCTCGTCCCCCAGCCTCGCCAATTTGAACAAGTCTATCGTCAAAAATCATGCCATCACCATCTATTAGTACCAGGATAAAAGCATCCCGGTCCTGTGAATGGTCAGAATTGTTATCCTTTTCGGATTGCACCCCATGCTATATGCATCAGAGAATGGCATTCGCCCTTACCATGAGAGCTTTGTATTTACGCAGCTCGTCTCGCAACTGGATTTCTTGGAGCTGAACTTCACGATTAAAGTGAGATTCCCGGGCATGATCCAGCTTTTCTTGGTGAAAATCCTCAGTAAGTTCATCTAGACGGCGTAAAAGTTCCTCGATGAGAGCGTTTTTATGGTGTTCTGCGCCCTTCAAAAGGTCGTATCGCTGCCGAAGAGCGATGTTCCCCTCGGTGGCCATGTTGTGAAGCCGTCAAGAAAATGGGTGGCAGGCCCCTTAGATTAACGGAAAGAGATTGAGGAGATGAAGAGTACAAAGGCCGAGATTGATTGTGTGAAAGATGGCAAACCTTTTGAATGATTCAAGAGAGCGGGAGAGATGGTGTTGTGGAAGAAACAGGATACCTGCATAAATAGTTTCAGCGCGTACATAACGAGACGTGAATTTGATAGGGCTGGTGCTAGCTTCGCTTATGTAATCATCGAAAAAGAAATCGGCCCTTGCACGCCAATGAAGCGACCTTTTTTCTTCAATTTTGGACAGTTGCAAAAACAGCTTTTTGCTCCACATACCTTCCAACATCATGGGATACGCCTCTCTGGCTACAGTTGCGTTGCTCGCGTTACGATTCAGTGGCGCCTTTGCACAAGATGTACGCTTCTTGCCAGAAGCCACCTGGTCGCAAGCTAACTTCTCGGACAGGCAGATGAAGAAGTCGAAAACCCATCCACCTCCCCTAGCATAGCTGTCAAGATCTCGACGTCATTTCCCTCGTCGGAGATTTTCGGCATCAAGCTAGTCAACGGTCACCCGACCCAAGCTCTCCTCTCTTTTTCCAACCAAGAGCCAGAACCCGTCAGCGTCGCCTTCATTGGAGGCAGTCTTTGGACTACTGCATTTCCTCAACAGGGCCCACAAATTGTCCGTAACCTGACGACCACGAGGTACAATGTGGAGATTCCCGCTGGCCAGAGCGAGAGCATCAGCTACAGTTTTGCTACGGAGCTTCAGCCACAGGACTTGAAACTCAATCTGGCGGCTGTGGTCACCGATAGCGAAGGGACTCCATACACTCTGCCGGCGTTCAACGAGACCGTCAGCATTGTCGAGCCCGATACTAGCATCTTCGATCCACAAATGTTAGTATCACCTACCTGTTGTTTTGATACCTCGGGGATGTTCGACGCTGACATCTTGTAGCGTCTTTCTCTACCTATTCCTCGGTGCCGCCTTTGGAGGCACATGCTACTTCATATACAGCACCTGGATCAGCACCCTCTTCCCACAGAAGCGTCGCGGAGGAAAAGGCGGTGAACGGGCCAAGAAATCATCTGGCCAGTCGAAGAAAGTTGATCCCGCGGATCAGGTTTCTGTTGTGGGAGCCGATGGACCTGCGGTTACTTCTAGCGCGAAAGCGTATGATGAAAGCTGGATCCCTGCGCACCACATCAACAGGCCTCAGGCTCAGAAAATCAAGAGTAGTGGGAGACCCAAGAGCAGGAGCAAGCAGCCTGAATAGGATGTTTCTGTCTTGACCGAGCAACGACCTAGACTCCGCCCGAAGACTGCGGTATTTGAGAGGTCACAACATGGACCATCAGTGTACAAAATGTGTACGAGTTTGGCATGCTACGTATGGTAGAAAGGCTCCATGCTCTAGAGCTCGGTAGCGACGAAGATGTGTATTTTACTGCCTCTATGATTGGGAGACCGTTCCACCAGCTCAGCCCCAATAAATGCACACAAACTTAGCAATGCAATGCGTTTCGCTTCGGCGCCAGTTGCCAGCATGCTGTTCCTTTCCCCTATTCTCTCTTCCACTCCTCAAACTCCTCGTCGAGATGTTCCTTTAATCTTGAGAATTTATTCCCGAACACCTTGCCACATCTCCAACACTTCAAGTCGCGTTCCATATAGCGTTCCTTGCTCGGATGTCTTCTCCTGTCCTGTCTATCCAACGGAAAGTCTTCGACATCGATCAGGAAGGGCGTTGAGAAGCTGTTGTAATGCTTCTTATGTTTCATACATTCGCTATGCCTGTCGACGGATAGGATGTGGATGTGCAGGTGATTCATGCTAGGACCGACATGTATACCGGAGATGACTGACTGTGACCAATCACGTCCGATGGGCAGATGTCGGGATTCGCCATCGCTGTCTCCGTCTAAAGCATCAATAGCTTTCTGGCGCTTTTGATCAAGAGCGGAATACTTGCTGTAGCGTCGGTGCAATTCTTTCGCTGCCAGTCTTCGTAGCTTCTGCACCTCGGCTTGCACGTCTTTCAAGAAGTCCAGATCCCTAAAAGCTTCAAAAGGGTGCAGCAGCTGTTTTGAAGCGTCGCGTGGTAGGAGCAGAATGTGAACGGAGGATTTAGGAAAGAGGTCATTGATTACGACCCATTTCTCATCATGGTATATAACCCTTGAAGTAGGGAAGGAAGCAGGGGAAGCAATATAGGCGCCTAGACCGTCGCGGCCCAGGAAGGTTGTTGTTCGAGCTGGGTCAGAGTGAGGAGTGTCCAACGGGGGCACTTTCTTTGAAGGAGGAGGTTTTTTGGGAGACATAAGGTCACTGACTGCAAACACAGGTCAGCAGAAGGTACGTAAAGCGAGGATCTGGGGGGAGTACATGCGTTCCGTTCGGGAAGTGTGCCTTTTGGGGGGACTGTTGTGCTTGCGATCTCCTCTCCCGTAGTCGCATCTTGGTTCTGGGCCGGCTGTGTCATCTTCCTCGATCCCGTGGAGCTCAGGTACCGTGAAGATGACTGGGAGGGAGGGACACTGGGATTCAAAGTCAACAATGACGCATGTAAGACTATTGGTTTGAGGGTTGCAAAGTACCTGAGTACCTAGGTCCGATTTCAAGAGCGGAAACCTCCGCGCAGCCTTGTTCAAACGGGCTTAGCTCAAATCCCAAGTTGACCAATCAGACTCACCCAGTTTTATTGGAAAGCTTGCTTTCTCAATGCTCAAGACTTGAAATCCCAAATGGCTTCTACGCTAAGAGGCTAGTGACCAATCAGATCCTCGAATTCCTCGATTTCTAGTCTAAAACACACCTTATTTCTTCATTTTCGTTCTAAACACGGGTACGTCCAAAAGAGGAAGCACCATAAGGCTGAACCTCGAACATCAACTTTATCAATTTATTCTATTTAATTCCTTTAACGTTACGTAATAAATGATAATAAAGTAAATTTATAGAGTTATAGAGTTAATTATACGCTTTCAAATAAAGTAGCGAAGACGAAATTTGATAAAGTATTCGTAAAAAATATACTAAAAACTAAGATTTTTATTCAAATTATCGAGCTTGCGAGAAGAGCCCCTCCGGCAGGAGCCCTCGGAGAGCCCTCGGAGAGCCCCCGGAGGGTCAGGGGGGTTTCAGGGGGTCTCCCCCTGAGTATATCAACTATCTCTCTCGATTCTCAGGGTTAGACCCCTTAAAATCCCTTAAACCCTTCGGAGCTCTTTAAGGGCTCTCCGTCTCCGAGGGCTTCTATCGGAGGGGCTGTCAAAGCAAGCTCGAAATCAATCAAATATCACTAAAATAATCAAATTTCGAGCTTGCTTTGACAGCCCCTCCGATAGAAGCCCTCGGAGACGGAGAGCCAAAGCCGAGGGGTTTTAGGGGGTCTCCCTGAAATTAAACATTCAAAAACCAGTACTCGGCAAGCTTTTCACTACTGGGAAGCCCGCGCCCCAGCACATATTTTCTCACCGTCCTAGCCCATAGCCAGATTGTGGCCCTGCACCATGAAGCATCTAGTCGGGTTAGAATACTCAAGTCGACTTCCTCAGACACCCTGCTGCATTCCAGGGAATCACAGGATAATCTTAGTGAGCAACGAGAGATCTAATTGTCGGCCTCGTTTTTCAATTTCAACATCATCACATCTAGCGACTCCGCGCCCGCGGTTTTGTCCAAGTTTGACGTTCAAAAGAAGGATTTTCTATTCTCAAGATCTTAGACTAGGTACCATTTTTCCTGACCATTTTTCCGACAACTCCTGACAATGACGTTGAAAACAAAAAACGAAGCCGATACGAGTAGTAGATCAATCGTTCTGAGGCGTGCAAAACTGATTGCTGTCCACGCCTTTTCGCCGTTGGGGGAATGCCTAGATTGGAAATTACATAACAATTGTTGAGTCTCAGGTTGCTCTCATTGGAAGCTGCATTTCCCTCAGAGCGAGGTATCTTGATTAGCTCTAGACTGGAACTTTACGATAACGGATGCTCCGTACGAGCTGGCCTTCTTTTGTTCTTCTTGCAAACAGATAGATGAGGTTTGTAGTCTCCAGTCATTGGGTTTCATCATGTTTCTGGAGAGCGAGTTGCAGGTGCCCAGCTCCTGCCATGGGCAATCCGTCTCGAAGATACCATGAGACGGATGCCGAATTTTTATTGCCACATTGGCCAAGTTCTAGCGTTGGGTCTCAATTCATGCCCTACTCAAAATGTCATGGTTCATTTCTAATCTCGTTCTCTTATTTAAATGTTCACTAACCGTGCCTGACAGCGCTCCAGCGCATTTCCATCTTGACGAACAACATGTCGGCATTATAGCCTTGATGGGCTTGGTCATCCAATTGTTTGGATACAAGTTTAATAAGTTATGTACACAGTCGAGTAGCGAAGCATCAGAATCCGGGTGCAACAAAACCCAATTGTATGACGCTGTACATTTCTCAACACTTTTTTCCTACTAAGAAGATGGACCCGGGTCCGGATCGTTGTACCCCATGTAACAATCTTTCCCAAACATAGCCTTGTAATAGGTGTTTCCCTCCTCGATACCATTCAGGAGGACCCAAGGAGCTAATTCCTGATAGCATTCGGAATTACTGGTCTTACTATCAGGTGGCCCCTTGAACCACCCTCTGCCCCCGCATACACTGCCATTCCAGCTGTTGGAAAAGCTCCCGCACCCATAGTCATTGAGACAGGTGGTCAAATCGAGCTTACTGAGCGCCGGGCTACCCCCTGAGGACTGTTCGGTTACAGTGTTTTGGTTTTGCAGGAGGGCGCTAGGGTCTGTGTAAGAGATGCAGCCGGGACCAGTGTTCAGCATGTCGTCACGCTGTGCGAGATTTCTTTCTGGAAGACGGATGCCCATGGACGCTGCAGCAAGTGCGAACAGGATAAGAAGCATGTGACGCATGACGGATGTTCTAGCACAAGGTCAAACGTCAGTCAAGCTCGTCAGGTACTGAGACGGGAACGGACTCCAAGAACTCCTCGATCTATATTGCAGCTCAAGGTTGGGATAGAGCAATAGCTCTGTCACCTTCGTGAGTGTCTTTTCTGCTGTGTGACACGACAACCCGTACTGGGATATTTTTTGCTTTGCTTCCTCCAAACCGTACACGTTCAAACGGAAGAAAGGGGGGAGGAAGTTATTTGTTTTTTTTTTTTTTTTTTTTTTTTTTTTTTTTTTTTTTTTTTTTATTTTTTTTTTTTTTTTCTATGGGGTTTGGGCCCCGAAACTAAATTAACAAATTGTTTTGATTTTTTTTTTTTTGTTTTTTTTTTTTTTTTTTTTTTTTTTTTTTTTTTTTTTTTTTTTTTTTTTTTTGTTTGGGGGGGTTGGGGGGGGGGTTTGGGTACCTGTTTTTTTTTTTTTTTTTTTTTTTTTTTTTGTCTTTTTGTTTTTTTTTTTTTTTTTTTTAATAAAATATTATTATGGGGATTTTTTTTTTTTTTTTTTTTTGGGTTTTTTTTTGTCAATTTTTTTTTGTTTTTTTTTTTTTTTTTGTTGTTCTATTTTTTTTGTTTTGTTTTTAAGGGGGTTGGGTTTGGGGGGGGGGGCGGGCGCGGCGCCGGCCGGGCAGGGGGGTTGTGGGTGAAAAGAAGTGGGTTTAAATTAAGCCACTCTTTTTGTCGGCTATAAAAAACCCCAAAAGGGGGATTAGGGGGGTGTGGGGTGTTTTTAAAAGATTATATTTTTAAAAATGTTTAAAAATGGTAAAAAAAAATAATAGTTATTATTTAATTCAATAAGGGGGGGGGGGGGGGGGGGGTTTTTTGGTTTTTTTTTTTTTTTTCGGCAAAAAGGGGAAGAGGGGTTTTGGGGGTGTAGGGGGGGGGGGGAGGGGGGGGGGAGGGAAGAAAAAAAAAGAAGAGTGTGGGGGGGGGGGGGGGGGGGGGAGTTTTTTGGGTTTGGGGGGGGGGGGTTTCCGGGGTTTCTTATTAATTAAAATAAATTAAATAAAAAAAAAAAAAAAGAACCAACAAACAACCCATTTTTACTTTTTTCAAAAAAAAAAAAAAAAAATTTTTTTTTTTTTTTAAAATTATTAAAAAAAAATATAAAAAAAGTTTTTTTTAAAAAAAAAAGGTTTAGCATAGTATTGCATCCAAAGAAAAGAATAAAATAAAGCCACTATTCCTGAAGTTTTCTGTAAGCGTATATACTTCTAAGAAAGTATAAACTCTCGAGAAAGTATAAACTTCTAAGAAAGCATAAACTTCTTCGCCGAGAAAGTATAGATTCTAAAGCTTTCTATAAGAGGTATATATCTTTAGAAAAGCTTCTAGCGGCGATATTAAGTAGTTTACTATTCTAGTAATAAGAGAATAATAAGATCTAGGAGGTAGTCTATACGAGTAACGAATTTCTTGAGATAATCTTCGTGAAATATATATCTAATTTTTTAGCTATTGAGTTGTATAAGTGTAAAGAATCTTCTATAGAATTTATTATATCTACTTATTCGAAACGAATCTCTTTAGCGGGCTTTTAGCTTTTCTATATTCTTTTAATATAATATAATTAAATCGCTAATATAATATATAACTTACTTAATTTTCTTATTATATTAAGAAACTATATTCTTCTTCTACTAATTTAAATATTACTTAATTATATTATAAAGATTTATCTAATAAATAAAATATTAATATATAATTTAAGTATAGCTAGTAGAATTCTTTAGCTCTATAATCTAAGTAGGAATATTATATTTAAAAAGTATACGTAAGGTAGATATACTAGTAGAAGCTTCTTATAGTAGTCCGAAGAGGATACTAATAGAAGAGATTTCTAGATATTTAATAACTTATATATTAATTAAATCTTTAGTCTTTAGTAGACGCTGATCTTATTTTAATTTAGTATAAAGGGAATCCTTATAAAGTACTACTTTTAGTAGTTTATTATAGATTTCGATTATTCTTATACTCTTAAAAGTATTAGAAGAACTATATATAATAATAATATCTTTAAATCTTAAGAATTCTTTTAACTTATTATTAAAGAAATATTAATCGCGATTAAGATAATAGATATAAGGCTTTCTATATATAGTAAAGAATAATTTAAGATATTAGATAACGTTCTCTATATTAGTAGAGATAATAATAAAGAAAATTATAAATTTACTTATATAGTAGACTTTTATAAGTATAAAAGTAGATTTTACTTTAATAATTTTAAGTAGATTTATAAAATCTATTTTTATAAATTGAAAAGGATATATAATTTTGATAGAATATAAAGGCTGAGATCTAATAGCCGATTTATACTTAGCACACTTAAGATACCTAGTAATATATTTCTTAATATTTTATACTTTCCTAGGTTAGTAGTAGTTATATAATCTTGCTAGGGTATTAGTCTTAGTCTAATAACCGCTTTTATTATAAACTTTCTAAAGTATTATAAATATCTTTTCTTTCGATATATAAGATAAGTATATATCTTCTCGAAAGATCTATAGAATAT